TCTTGGGCCGTTTTCTGGGCGATCTTGGGAGCCTCTTGGGCCCTCTTGGACGGTCTGAAGACAAAACGGCGGTACCGCGAAAGCCATGCAGAAACCGTCGGATTTCGACGATGGTGGCCTCTGGGGCCGCCCTCCAGGGCATCCAAGGGCCAAGTTGGACATGCGTGATGTCAGCACAACGCCTCTCGGCCTCTCGAGAAGTCACGCATGACCCCCCCAGTAGCGCGTGGGAGCGCCCAGGAGCGCCCAGGACTCCAGGCCGCGGGCCCCTTACAGAACATGATCTCCGTCACTCTTTTAGCGAGAACCCGCAGGGACCCGAGGACACTCCAGCTCGTGCCTCAGGGCACTGTGGCGGACGTGTCATGGGCTGAGTGCGCTCGTTGCGGCCGTTTCTGGGGCGGTGTTCTCTCGTTGACGTGTGCTTTGTGCTGTCAGTCTGTGCGCGTGGGTTGAAACACAATTATTGTTTGCCCTTTGCTGTCCAGTTGAATCTCTAGCAACTTGGAGTATGACCAGCAAAGCGTGGCCACGAGGGATGAGACATCCGCAATCAAGCTCAACAGGTCTGAGCTGCGGCTCTGAGGATGTATTTCTGGTCTTCTTTCACCTGACGTGGCGGTGCGCTCGTGGCTGTGTCTGACGGAGGTGAGGAGGTGGATGGCAGGGTTTGGGTGTGGTTAGGTATGTGGTTTGTTTTTGGGTGGAGGGGGTTTGGGAGGGGTTGCGGAGAGGGGTGAGGCATGGGAGATGGGTGGGTGATGGAAAGGATTAAATAGGGGATAAGGTGAGAAGTTAGGCTTGGGGGGGGGGGGTTAGGGTGGGTTTGGGAGTTTGGACTAGGTGGCGCCGCGATACTGTAATCAATATTTAGGATGTTTAACCCTCCCCCCCCCCCCCCCGAGCCTAGAGTACCCACCCACCCTCCCCCCCCGTCTTTTCGCTACCCCCCCCCCCCCCTTATTCCCCCCCCCCCCCACCCCCCTTGCGTGATCCCGAAACCCTCCCCCCCCCCCCCCCCCCCCACAACCCCCCCCGTTGTCCCATATTCCTGGCCTTGGTGCGCTTGCCGCTCTGCGGTAGTGGCCACCAGGGTAAAACCATGTGGGCAACACTTCAGGGCCAGAGTCAAACAGCTCTAAAGGATGCGCATAAACATATGATATGGGCTGAGTGCGTCCGTTGCCGCCGTTTCTGGGGCGGTGTTCTCTCGTTGACGTGTGTGTTGTGCTGTCAGTCTGTGTACGTGGGTCGAACGACAGTCATTATATGTCCTTGGGTGTCTAATCGAATCTGTAGCAATTTGGAGTATGACCAGCAAAGCGTGGCCACGAGGGATGAGACGTTCGCAATCAAGCTCAACAGGTCTGAGCTGCGGCTCTGAGGATGTATTTCTGGTCTTCTTTCACCTGACGTGGCGGTGCGCTCATGGCTGTGTCTGGCGGAGGTGAGGAGGTGGATGGCAGGACAGGGATGCTGGAAACTGCGCGTTGAGCTTGGGCGCGTGGGTGCATCCTCTGCAACCCACTGTTCACCGTGCGCCGTATTGCATAGATCGAAGGCAGTGGCGCCGCAGACGATTGGCGGGCTGGTCGAGCGCTGCTCCCGAGCCCTGCTCTGCTCCCATATTCCTGGCCTTGGTGCGCTCGCCGCTCTGCGGTGGTGGCCAGCAGGGCAAACCATGTGAGCAACACTTCAGGGTCAGAGTCAAACGGCTCCAAACGAGGTGTAAACTTATCTATGACATGGGCCGCTTGCGTCCGTTGCAGTCGTTTCTGGGGCCGTGTCTTTCGCTCACGCGCGTGTGTGTGTGTGTGTGTGTGTGTGTGTGTGTGTGTGTGTGTGTGTGTGTGTGTGTGCGTGTTGTGCTGTCAGTCTGTGCGCGAGGGTCGAAAGACAGTCATTGCTTGTCCTTGGATGTTCAATCGAATCTTTAGCAGCAGTGTTGAGTATGACCATCGGAGCGTGACCACGAGGGATGAGACATCCGCAATCAAGCTCAACAGGTCTGAGCTGCGGCTCTGAGGATATGCTCTGGTCTTCTTTCACCTGACGTGGCGGTGCGCTCATGGCTGTGTCCGGCGGAGGTGGGGAGGTGGAGGGCAGGGACGGGATGCTGGAAATTGTACGTCGGGAGGATAGTTCGTGCTTGAAGCTTGGGCGCATGGTTGCATCCTCTGCGACCCGCTGTTCACCGAGCGCCGTACTGCAGTGGTGTAGATTCGAAGGCAGTGGCGCCGCAGACGATTGGCGGGCGGGTCGAGCGCTGCTCCCGAGCCCTGCTCTGCTCCCATATTCCTGGCCTTGGTGCGCTCGCCGCTCTGCGGTGGTGGCCAGCAGGGCAAACCATGTGAGCAACACTTCAGGGCCAGAGTCAAACGGATGGGCCGCTTGCGTCCGTTGCAGTCGTTTCTGGGGCCGTGTCTTTCGCTCACGCGCGTGTGTGTGTGTGTGTGTGTGTGTGTGTGTGTGTGTGTGTGTGTGTGTGTGTGTGTGTGTGTGTGTGTATGTGTGTGTGTGTGTGTGTGCGTGTTGTGCTGTCAGTCTGTGCGCGTGGGTCGAAAGACAGTCATTGCTTGTCCCTGGATGTTCAATCGAATCTTTAGCAGAAGTGTTGAGTATGACCAGCGGAGCGTGACCACGAGGGATGAGACATCCGCAATCAAGCTCAACAGGTCTGAGCTGCGGCTCTGAGGATGTATTTCTAGTCTTCTTTCACCTGACGTGGCGGTGCGCTCATGGCCGTGTCTGGCGGAGGTGAGGAGGTGGATGGCAGAAAAGGGATGTTGGAAGCTTGACGTTGAATGGATAGTTCTTGCTTGAAGTTCGGCGCGTGCTTGTTGCATCCTCTGCAACCCCCCGTTCACCGAGCGCCGTACTGTAGTGGTGGAGATTCAAAGGTATTTGGTCGTCATATAATTTTTTCTTGTCTATCATATATATCTCTAATTCCACATTCTTATATTATATTTTCATCCCTCAATCCTCCTCTTCTTTTTCTTCTTATTTATCATTTTCTTCTCTTCTTCTTCTTTTTCTCCTTCTTCTTTCTTCTCCTAAATTTTTTTCTTACTCAAAATTATAATTAAATAACTCCCATTTTCAAATTTTTATCTTCTCATGTAGGAGTGTGACCCCTATTTTGATATTTATTTTTTTTTTCTTTTTCTTCTTATAATTTTCCCTCTTATTGCCTTAATTTTTGGTATAGTCGGGACCCCCCCAATCGAGGCCGACTCTACCCCCCTTGTACCCCATTACTTTAAGGGTCAACTTAGGGGTATATTTTTGAAACGTGACTACTACGTGCGTAGATTTCGCTCCAATCCGGATATTTCCCCGACTGCGATTTAGATGCCATTCTATTCCCGGTGGGAGGTAACAAAATAAGGCGATCGTTCCGAGGTGGGTCAGGAAGACCTCAGCCCCCCCCACCCCGGCCCCCCGACAGGGCCGGCGGATGACGGGAAGCGTCTTCGAGGCACTCGAAGCGAGCTGGACATTGTGGCTGAATCTGCGTCATATCTAGTAAAGTTTTTGCTGCTAGTACAGGGTGGCTTGTTGTATTTGATTTTTGTTAGCGGATCCCCTACAAAAGCGATTTTGCTCGAGACATCCTCACACAAATGACACCTTCGCGACATGGCGTTTAACACAAACAAGCGTTCCGCTCGAGACATCCTCGAAAAGCTGATCCCCGCGAAATTCATTCATCTGTACGAGTTTGCGTTTCGTCTGAGACATCCTCACAACAATGAGATTTCTCTGGAGGTGTTTTACTTCCGCTTATGTTGAAAACGGCGTTTTCGCTAGGGACATCCTCAGAAAATGCTCGGCCGCTCGGCGGACCAGCAAAAAGAACACGGCAGATAACTTGCATTTGTTTGGGACATCCTCAAAACATTGGCATGTTTTCAGCATCGTCTTGACATCGTTCTTGAAGTGCTTCAAGAGGAATCAATGATAACCCAAAAAGAACCTCAATATGGCTCCAAGAGCGCCCTAATGACTGCCGCAAATGACGATTTCGCTAGGGAGATCCTCAACAGAAAAACAGCAGCATCGTTTTGAAAACTGCTGTTCTTACATCGTCTTGGGATCGCTCTTGAAAAGCATTCCAGACGGCAAGCCAAGCTTCTAACGATGATGATTTCGCTAGGGACATCCTCAACAAAAACGATGTGTGCGACATCGCAGTGACATGTTTTTGATGTCGTCGAGTCAGCCCAAAACGAGCCCCAAACGAGGCCCAACATGATCCCAAGAGCGCCTTCGAGATTCCTCAAATGTCGCATTTCGCTCGAGACATCCTCACCAAAATGAGTTGTTCGCAGCACCGTCTTTCGCAAAAACAAGCATTTCGCCTGAGACATCCACCAGACCATGAAAACCGCGAATTTAACAAACGCTTGGACATGGGGATCTCACCTGAGACATCCTCGAAAACTGATCTGCTGAAGACTATGCGTGTTAAAACTGAGCTTATCGCCTAAGACATCTTTAGAAGATGGGCGGGATCACGGCAACCCAACACGCAGAAGCACGGCAGAACGCGCGAGAGCACGGCGGAACACAGGAGCACGGCAGAACACATAGGAGCACGGCATAATCCAACGAACACACGGGAACACGGCAGAACAAACAGGAACACAGCAGAACACAGGAGCACGGCAGAACACAGGATACATATGAACACGGCAGGACACACAGTAGCACGGCAGAACACGCAGGTGCACGGCAGCACACACATTGAACACAGAACATACAGGAGTACGGCAGAACACACCGGAGCACGGCAGAACACACAGGAGCACGGCAGAACGCAGGAGCAGAAGTCCGTAGCCATTTTGGCTCAAGGCCATGGAGCACCCGACGACCGCAAGTCGTCCGCGGCGTTCCGAGCGCGAGGGGCTCCTCGCCTTGGGCCAGTGCATTTCTTTGTTGTGCTCCCTGCTTTCGCGGCGCGGAGGCGCGTCCTGTCAGCCAGCGTGGCCTGGGCCATGGCGCGCTCCTCGCGGGGTGGCGGCAGCGGCGGCAGGCGCAGCAGGACGTACTGGATGTGCAGCTGCGGTGGGTGGAACTGGGACTGGCGCACCACGTGCCTTGGCTGTGGGTACGCGGCCCCGCCATGGGCGCTGGAAGCGGCAGCAGCCAAGGCCAAGCCCCAGGCGGATAAGGACGGCTGGGTGGATCAGCCGCGCGGGCGCCGTGCCCAGCGGCCGGCCCGCATTGCTGCAACGAGTGCGGCAACCTCCAAGTCGCAGACCTCGGCGTCGGGCGCCAGTGGGGCGCCCAGCGGCAGCGGCGCCACGGCGATCGAGAGGCTGCAAGTGGCGGTCGGGCAGCTGGAGGCGCTGCAGGCGGAGCCGCCCGACGGGGTCGATTGCTGCTTCACCGACGTCGTCGCCAGCCAGTTGGAGGCCAAGCGCGCCGAGCTGGCAGAGGCCCAGCGGGCCGCAGCAGAGCAGAAGGCGTCCTCCATGCCGCTGTCGACGATGCTCCATAAGGAGGCGAACGCCATCAGCAAGGCCGAGAAGCGCCTCCGAGCAGCGCGCCAGAGCCTGGAGCAGAAGCAGGAGGCTCGTGGCCTCGTCGAGGCCCAGCTGCAGAAGGCCCAGGAGGAGCTGGCGCAGCTCGACGCGGAGGTGGAGGAGGCCAGCCGTGCGCCCCGCGCCCTCGAGGAGGAGGCCCGAGTGGAGGCTGCTGCGCGGCGGAGTGGGCAGGGGCCAGCCAGGTCCCAGGGCTCCTCATGCAGCTGGACAAGCTGCCCGAGGCATGGGGCTCCAGCGACTTCGAGGTGGCGTTTGCAGCCATTCGCTCCCAGGTGGAGGCGGTGCGTGCGCAGCTCGCCGAGGCCCCCGCCGTCCCGAGGAGAGCGCCCTGGGCGGAGTCGTGCCCCATGGACGAGATCAGCAGTGAGGGCGGCGACCACGCAGGAGGCTGCAGGCCTTGGCAGCCGCAGTGCGCCGCGGAGCGCGGCCAGGCCGAACGTCGCGGCGACGCCCGCGGCGAGTGGCCGAAGGTCGCCCAGGCGTGCAAGCGGGAGCTGGCGGCCGAGGCTGGGGACCTGGCCCCTCTTGCGGCTCGCCCTGCTGGCCGCGCCGCTGGGCGTCGCGGCGGAGGCGAGAGGCCGCGGCAGTCGTGCGCGTAGTCACGCCAGAGGCGCTAGGCATAGGCAGCAGGAGGGCGGCGGCGCCGAAGCGGCCCGCGTCGGCGGCAAGCGGCCCCACGACCTCGGGAGTGCACAGGCCCCGCCAGCGCCAGGCCAAGCTGCGACGGCAGCTCAGGATGTCCGCTGCGGGATGGAGGAGCTCGGGGGCAACGGCAACGCATGGAGGAGGAGCCTGGAGGTGATCGAGGCCTTGGGCTCTCGCAGCAGGGCCCCGCCGCGCCTTGTGATGCACCAGGGGGCCCCCCGGGCTCCGCGCCGCCTGGAGGAGGCCAGAGGAGCAGCGAGGCGCATGGGATATGCGGCGTTCCTCCACGCGTCGGCGCCCACGGGTAAGGAAGGCCCGCTGGCGAACTCAGGCGGCGTCGCAGCCTGGAGGCATTGCTTGAGTGGAGTCACAGTGTCCACTGCGTCAGGCCTGCAGCTGCTGGCGTGCTCGCTGTACCTCCAAGGCTCCCTGGGCCCCGAAGGCTTCAACCTCGACAGCTTCGCCGCCTTCGGCGACGCCGTGCCCTGCCAGAGACCGCGGTTCATTTCCGTCGTGGGCCTGGCCACCGAGTCGTTCAGCACCAACGGGGCAGTTTTGGCAGGGTGTGCGTGTGCCACCACTGTGGCCAAGCTGCCTGTGCTGGCAGCCCTCCGCGCCGCCTCGGCGGGCGGCAGGCCACTGCGTGTCGCTCGCAACGTCGTCGGCGACATCGCGCTGCAGGCCGTGGGCGCGGAGCAGCTGGTGGCCGCGCGGCTCGGCAGCGCTGGGCTGGAAGTGTTTCGCCGCCTCCGTGTTCAGCACCTTCCCCTCAGCGCTGCCGAGACGAACTTCCTCGCTCCGAGCCCCAGCCTAGGACGCCAGCTCGGGGTGTGCTGGAAGTCGCAAGGCTGGACCTTCCGCAAGACTTAGCAGGCCAGGAACCTCGGCACGGACGCCGCCAACACGAGGAGTGGAGCACATGAGGGCCGAGTCCGAGCTGCAGGAGCGCTTCGCCGAGCGCGCAGGCTGGACCCGATCCACAAGGCTGGGCCCGCGGCCAGCAGGGTGTGCGGTCGCACGGTCACGGGCAATGCGGGCGGCAAGCTGCACGTATGGAGGCTGGCGGCCTGCCGCAGCGCAGGGGCGCTCCCCATGGGCGCGGAGCGAGGGCTGCGCATGCGCTGCGCCGAGCTCAGGAGGAGGCGTAACCTGGATCCTGCAGCCCTCAAGGCAGGCCACGCTGTCCAGATGCTGGCGGGCCTGCTGCTGACAGGCGAACTGCCGCCCAGGATGATGGAGCGGGGGCTGGAGGCGGCGGCGACCAGGCGCGCAAGAGCTGACGCGCCATGGAAGCACTGCGCCCCCCCCCCCCCCCCCCCCCCCCCCCCCTTCGGACGGGCCCCACTCAGAGGTCGCACGCTCACACGCGCGCGCGGGCCGACATGCGCTTCAAGTCCGAGCTGTGCTCAGCGCGCTCTCAGCGTCACTTTGGCCCATGACTATGCAGTGCTTTTGTTTTGTCCCCCCTCCCCCCCCGCCCCTTCCCTGCGCCGCGCCCTGTTGTTGTTTTTTTTGTTTCTTTATTATTTTTTGCCGCTCCCCCCCCTCACACCCTCTCCCCCCCCCTATTCCTATGCCCGCCCCTGCAGCCCCCCCCCCCCCCCGTGCGCGCGAACCCTGCGCCTTTTGTGGGTTTTCGTTTTTCTTTTTTATCTTACGTTGTTTTTTTCTTTTAATTTTATTATCACCCCTTTTTATATTTTTTTATTTTTTTTTTTTATTTTATTATTAACCCATAAAAAATATTACCCCCCCCCCCATTCATTTCAATCTCCGCGTTTTCACCACCCGATTTTATTTTTTTTTTTATGGTTTTTTTTTTTTTTTTTTACAAGCTTTATTTTTTTCTCCATTTTTTTTTCTAATTCTCTTACTTCTCTCCAAAGACCTTCTTTTTATTTCTGTTCGTCTTTCTTATTCATTTCTTCTTTTTTTGTTTCGACCTCATGCACCTCGGATCTCGGGAGCTGGGCTTGGAGGCTGGCCTAGGCGCTCGGCGGGCGCCCTTTCGTCACGAGACGCGGAAGCTCAGCCGCGACACCCGCCTGCAGCGGCCACTGCGCTGGGGCGCCATCGGACGCCTGCGCGGGCCAGACGGCGGGCCCAGGGTGAAGGGGCAGAACGTGCTCGGGGCCTACATCTCCAACCCGCACTGGACGAAGGCCAGGCTCCTTGATGCAGGGGGGCAGGGGCATGCGCGCTGCTGCTGCTGCGGAGCAGAGAGAGCCACCTTGTGGCACCGCCTGTACGGCTGCCCTGTGCTCGAGGCCCAGCGGTGTAACAGAGTGTCGGCACGGCTGAAGCAGTGTGCAGTACGAGCGCGGGCCCTAGGCGAGCACGCAGGCGACGACTTCGGCCGCTGCTGGCTGCCCGCGCCAGAGCCACCGCAGGGTCGCCGCACAGACGCCATGTGGGTGCAACGTGTCCGTAGGCCAGCCGATGATAAGCTCAACGGCAAGCTGTACCTCGATGGCTCGGCGCTCGAGCCGCAGTTCGGCGCCTTGCGCTGTGAGGGCTGGGCCATTGCGCAGTGCGACGACGACGGCAACCTGGTTGCAGGGGTCTACGGCGCAGTCTGGCGCGACCGCTGCCCGCAGCAGACGACCAAGGACGGCGAGGACTTGGCTGCCTGGATGCTCGCCACCCTTGCGAGGCCAGCAGTGGAGGATGTCAACATCGACTGCAGCTCCGCAGTGTCCTGCCTGCGGAGAGGGCGTGCGCGCGCCACCGCGCCCAGCAGGGCGAACGCCCACCTTTGGAGCAGGATTCTGGCAGCCTTCGAGCCAGGCGCTTTCGAGGTGGAGAAGGTGCCAGCCCCCCGTTCGAGGCAGGCAGTGCTCGACGGGCGCCCGGCGGAGGCCCAGAGGCGCGGCAACGACCGAGCCGACCGCCTCGGCGAGATGGGCGCCCAGACGCATGCAGTGGACAAGCTGACGGTTGGCGTGCACCAGGCGCTGTCGGAGATCGTGCAGGAACTCGGGCGCTGGATCTGGTGGGCCGCCATCATGGGGCAAGGCGTCGAGGCCAGGGACCGCGAAGGGCCCCCTCCTGCTGCCGAGCGGCGCCAGGTGCGTTTCGCTGACGCCGAGGTGTCTCAGGCAGCGGAGGAGGCCACGGGCGAGGGGCTGTCGGCCAAGGGGCCACGCCTGGAGAGCGCCCGCTCGACAGGCAGCAGCTCGGCAGCCCTTTCGGCCAGTGCAGTAGCCTTCAGCATCCTGGGACACTCCCTGTCCTATGCCTGCGCTGGAGAAGGTGAGAACACCCGGGAGCTCGTGGCATGCTCCAAGTGCGGCGCCTACATGGCGCTGGGAGGCCGCTCAGGGGTTAGGCCTCGCCTCAAGGAGCGGTGCCCAGGCGACGAGACCGACAAGGGCGGCACGAACCAGCGCAGCCTGTGGCTACGAGGACTCCATCCTGGAGGCAGGAGGCAGGAGGGGTCACGAGCCGCCAGGCACATAGTGAAAGGAGAGGGCATCCCTGCGCTGCGCTCGCAGGGTCCAGTGCCTGAGCACGCGCGGGAGCGGTGCCTGGAGTGGCCTGGCACTGCAGCGGAGCCAGCTGCAGACTCCTCGGCCGCGGCGAGCAGTGCAGGCAACGCCCCAGCGGCAGCTGCAGAGCCGCAAGTGGCCGCGGACCCAGGAGGAGCCCCATCGGATGCGGCCGTCGCTGCGGCCGCTGCCAGCCTGCCCATGCGGCGCCCAGCCGCAGCGAGAGCGGGGCGTCTCGGTGCGTTCGGGGCCATCGAGGAGGAGCTCGCCGCCGCGGCCGGCCCTGCAGGCGGCGCCCTGGAGGGCCGCAGGGTTCGCCGCCGCGTGGCGCGCCGTGGCGGCCCGTCCGTGAGTGAGTGAGTAAAGGATTGCATCGCTGTGGCTCGCGCCAGCTGCTCCATTTGGGAGTAGGCTTCCGTCGCCCTCGGTGCCTTGTGGGACTCGGCGTCTCTCGGGAACGCGGTTCCCGTCTGGCCCTGTCCGTGTTTTTGCCCCTTTGCCTTGAAGGCCCCGTCTTTAACTTTAACTTTAACGCAGGAGCAGGAGGAGCACGGCAGAGCACGGCAGAACAAGCAGGAGCATTCCGTAGCCATTTTGGCTCAAGGCCATGGAGCGCCCGACGACCGCAAGTCGTCCGCGGCGTTCCGAGCGCGAGGGTCTCCTCGCTCTGGGCCAGTGCAATTCGTTGTTTCGCTCCTTGTTGTCCCCGCGCGGAGGCGCGACCAGTCGGCCAGCGCGGCAGTGGCCATGGCGCGCTCCTCGCGCAGCGGCGGCGGTGGCAGCAGGCGCAGCAAGACGCACTGGATGTGCAGCTGCGGTGGTTGGAACTGGGGCTGGCGCACCACGTGCCTCGGCTGCGGCTGCGCGGCGCCGCCTTGGGCGCTGGATGCCGCAGCGGCCAGAGCCAGACCCCAGGTGGACAAGGACGGCTGGGTGGATCAGCCACGAGGGCGCCGTGCCCAGCGGCAGGCCCGCAGCGCGGTTACGAGTGCGGCCTGCGCCAAGTCGCAGACCTCGGCATCGGGCGACAGTGGGGCGCCCAGCGGCAGCGGCGCCACGGCGATCGAGAGGCTGCAGGCAGCAGTCGAGCAGCTGGAGGCGCTGCAGGCGGAGCCGCCCGACGGAGTTGACAGCTGCTTCACCGACGTCGTCGCCAGCCAGTTGGAGGCCAAGCGCGCCGAGCTGGTCGAGGCCCAGCGGGCAGCAGCGGAGCAGAAGGCGTCCTCCCTGCCGCTGTCGACGCTGCTCCACAAGGAGGCGAACGCCAGCAGCAAGGGCGAGAAGCGGCTCCGAGCCGCGCGCCAGAGCCTGGAGCAGAAACAGGCGGCGCGCGACCTCGCCGAGGCCCAGCTCCAGAAGGCCCAGCAGGAGCTGGCGCAGCTCGACGCGGAGGTGGAGGAAGCCTCCCGTGCGTTCCGCGCCCTCGAGGAGGAGGCCCGAGTGGAGGCCGAGGCGCAGCGGTGTCAGCGCGCGGCGGAGTGGGCAGGGTCCAGCCAGGTCCCTGGGCTCCTCTTGCAGCTGGACAAGCTGCCCGAGGCTTGGCTCCAGCCGCTTCGAGGTGGCGTGGGCAGCCATTCGTGCCCAGGTGGAGGCTGTGCGCACGCAGCTCGCTCAAGCCCCAGCGTCACCAAGGAGAGCGCCATGGGCTGAGTCACGCCCCATGGGCGAGGCCAGCAGCGGGGGCGGCAACCACGCAGGAGGCGCCGAGCCCTGGCAGCCGCAGAGCGCCGCGGAGCGCGGCCAGGCAGAGCGTCGCGGCGACGCCTGCGGCCCAGGCGTGCAAGCGGGAGCTGGTGGCCGAGGCTGCTGACCTGGCCCCTCTTGCTTCTCGCCCTGCTGGGCCCGCCGCTAGGAGCTGCAGCGGAGGTGCGAGGCCAGGGCAGCCGTGCATTTAGCCACGCCAGAGCGACGGGGCCGAGGCAGCGCGCAGGCGGTGCCGCCGATGCGGCCCGCCTAGGCGGCAGGCGGCCCCTCGACCCCGGGAGAGCGCAGGGCCCACTGGCGCCAGGCCAAGCAGCAACGGCAGCTCAGGACGTCCGATGCGGGCTCGAGGTGCTCGGGATCAACGGCAACACCTGGGGGGGGGAGCCTGGAGGTCATCGAGGCCTTTGCCTCTCGGCACGGTGCCCTGCCGCACCTGGTGATGCTCCAGGAGACCCGCTTGGCTCCGCGCCGCCTGGAGGCAGCCAGGGGAGCAGCGCGCCGCCTGGGATATGCAGCCTTCCTCCACGCGGCGGCGCCCGCGGACAAGGAAGGCCCGCTGGCGAACTCAGGTGGCGTGGCGGCCCTGGTGCGCAGCGACCTGCAGGCCGCGGAGATAGCCTGGATGGTACCGAGCGACTTGAGGCATCGCATGATTGGGGTCACAGTGTCCACCGCGTCAGGCCTGCAGCTCCTGGCGTGCTCGCTGTATCTGCAGGACGCCCTGGGGCCCAAGGGCATCAACCTCGACATCTTCGCCGCCTTCGGCGACGTGGTGCTCTCCGAAGGCATGCCCTGGCTCGCGCAGGGCGGCTTCAACATGGAGCCAGGCACGCTGCACGAGTTGGGCTGGCCCAGAGCGCAGCGCGGGACGTACCTGGGGCCTGCCGAGTGCACATGCGTCGCCCAAGGTGCTGAGCATGTGTACGACTGGTTCGTGAGCTCCTTCTGCCTGGCCCATGGGGTAAGAGAGGCCTCGGCTCTGGATGGCTTTGGGCTGTGTCCCCACAAGCCCGTGAGGCTGCTGCTGCAGGGCGTGAGACCAGACGCTCTGGTGCAAGTGCTGGTTCGACCTGGTCGTTTCCCTGATGTCGACGCAGCTGCTTGCCGCCCTCACGATGATGCTGCAGTCCAGGTGCACCGCCGCGTGGGGCGCACTCGCTGGCAGGTGGAGCCCTGCGGCTGGACCTGGGAAGTGAGCTCCCGACCGAGTGACCCCCACGAGGCCGCTCGGCAGTGGATCCAAGTCGTCGAGAGCACCTTGGTGGGGATCCGCGGCATCGATGACAGCGACCTGCACAGGTACCTGGGGCGGTCCGAAGGGCCCAAGGTTGTCCTCAAGCCCCTCAGCGCCGTGGTCAAGGGCGAGTGCCGCCATCGGCACTCGGCCCTCGCCCACGCCATCCGCCAGGCTCTCGACGTGGCGCTCCAGGGGCTCACAGCGGACAGGAGGACAGGACGCAGCGTTGGCAGCCCGCGCACGAGACAAGGTACGAGCGGCAGGCGGAGCGGGTCCTCGCCGATGTGGAGGCGGCCACTGTCGCAATTTGCGAGGAAGACGAAGTCGAGGCCCTCGAGTTCGACGCTAGCGAATGTGGCGACCTCGTTAGCCAAGCTGGTCTTCATGGAGACCCAGAGGCGATTGCAGTGCTGCAACGGCGCCTCGCGAGCTCCCAGAAGCGAGATGGAAGCCAGAGCTCGGCCTCCTGGAGGGCATGGGCCAAGGAGGCGGTGCAGAAGGGCGGCAGGCTGGCCCGCAGGTTTGCCAAGGCTGTGCTACCCCCGCAGGTGGTGGACCCCGACACTGGCAGACCCTTGGCAGGCATGCTGGCTGTCGGGCAGCTGGTGGCCAACTGGCAGGCCCTCTGGCAGCAGGGGGGCTTCAAGTCAGGAGCTGGAGTTGGCAGCTGGGACGTCCAAGGTTCGACGTTGCCGCCCCTCAGCCTGGAGATGTTGCAGGCTGTCTGCAAGCGCTACTCGCCGACGGCGGGCCTGGGGGCTGACCAGCTCCACCCGCGGCAGCTGCTGCTGCTCCCAGTGGCCCTGCAATTGCGCTGCCTGGACCTCCTGGAGGCCTACGAGGAGCAGCCCCAGGCCTTGGGCGCCCAGGCCACCATGATGGTCTTCATTCCCATGTCGGACGGTGAAGTTCGACCGATAGCGCTGATCCCGCTGCCCATGCGCATCTGGAGCCGCCTGAGGCAGCCAATCTGTGCGCTGTGGGAGGCGGAGCACGACTACCGCTTCTTCTGGGGCAAGGTTGACCGTGGGTGCGAGAAGACAGGGTGGCTGCACAACGCCTTTGCCGCCTTCGCGCGGCAGAATGGGTTTGCCGCCGCCAGCCTCTTTTTTGACACCACCAAGTTCTACGAGAACCTGCGGCACGACGTCCTGTGGCAGCGCGGGATCGAGCACGGCTTCAACTTGAAGCTGCTGCGAGGCCTGCTCGTACTCTACCAGAGCCCGCGGTTCATTTGCTTCGTGGGCATGGCCGCTGAGTCGTTCACCACCTGCAAGACGGTCCTGGCGGGGTGTGCGTGTGCAGCCACAGTGGCCAAGCTGCCCGTGCTTGCTGCCCATCCGAGCTGCCTCTGCTGGGGGCAGGCCGCTTGTGGTCGCGCGCAACGTCGTCGATGACATCGCGCTGCAGGCAGTCGGCACGGAGCGGCTGGTCGCTGCGCAGCTGGGCACGGCTGGGCTGGAAGTGGCCTGTATCCTCCGTGGTCAGCACCTGCCCATCAGTGCCGCCAAGACGACCTTCCTCGCCTCGGGTCCCAGCCTTGGGCGTCAGCTGGGCGAGTACTGGAGGTCGCAGGGCTGGACCTTCCGTAAGGCCTTGCAGGCCAGGAACCTCGGCACGAACGCCACCATCACGAGGCGAGGGGTGCATGAGGGCCGAGTACGAGCTGCTGGAGCACTTCGCCGTGCACGCAGGCTGGGCTGCTTGCGTGCCGCTGGCGTGGATGTGGACCTCATCCACAAGGCTGGACCCGCAGCCAGCATGGTGTGGGGGCGCACAGTCACGGGCATCGCTGACGGCGGGTTGCACAGCTGGAGGCTCGCCGCATGCCGCAGCGCAGGAGCGCCCCCCTATGGGCGCTGCACTTGGGCTTCGCATGCGCTGCGCCGAGCTCTGGGGGAGGCGTGACCTGGACCCTGCAGTCCTCACGGCAGGCCATGCGGTCCAGATGCTGGCGAGCCTCCTGCAGTCAGCCGAGCTGCCGCGCAGGATGATGGCGCTGGGGCTGGAGTCGGCGGCAGCCAGGCACGCGAGTGCCGACGCGCTGTGGAAGCACTGCGCCTCCCCCATCGACGCGGCAGTGCTGACTCTCGCACGGATCGGCTGGTACTTCAAGTCCGAGCGGTACCTCGTCACGGACCTCGGCGACGAGCTCGACCTCTTGCTCCTCGGGCCTCGGGGGCTAGGCCTGGAGGCTGGCTTCGGCGCTAGGCGTGCCTCCGATCGCCACGAGATGCGGAAGCTCAGCCACGACCCCCTCTTGCAGCGGCCACTGTACTGGGACGCCATCGGGCGGCTACTCGGGCCAGGCAGCGAGCTGAGCGTGAGGGAGCAGAATGCGCTTGGGGCCTACATCTCCAACGCGCACTGGACGCAGGCCAGGCTCTTTGATGCAGGAGAGCGGGGGCACGCGCGTTGTTGCCGCTGCGGAGCCGAGCGGGGCACCTTGTGGCACCGCCTGTTCGAGTGCCCTGTGCTGGAGCCCCAGCGGCGCGACGGAGTGTCCGCACGGCTGAAGAGGTGCGCAGAGCGAGCGCGGGCCCTCGGAGAGTGCTCAGGCGAGAATTTCGCCCGCTGTTGGTTGCCTGCCCCAGAGCCGCCACAGGGTCGCCGCACAGACGCTATGTGGGTGCAGTGTTTCTGTAGGCCAGCCGATGATAAGCTCAACGGCAAGCTGTACCTTGATGGCTCGGCCCTCGAGCCGCAGTTCAGTGCTTTGCGCCGCGCGGGCTGGGCCATTGCACAGTGCGACGACGACGGCAACCTAGTCGCAGGAGTCTACGGCACCGTCAGGCGAGACCTCTGCCCGCAGCAGACGGCCAAGGATGGCGAGGACTTCGCAGTATGTATGCTCGCCACCTTCGCAGGGCCAGCGGTTGAGGAGGTCAACGTCGACTGCAGCTCCACCGTGGCCTGCCTGCGCAGAGGACGTGCATGCGCCACGGCGCCCAGCAGGGCCAATGCCCATCTGTGGGGCAGGATCCTGGCGTGCCTCGAGCCAGGAACCTTCGAGGTGAAGAAGGTGCCAGCCCACTGTTCGAGGCAGGCAGTGTTCGACGGGCTCCTGACGGAGGCCCAGCGGCGTGGCAACGAGCATGCGGAGCGCCTTGCCAAGATGGGTGCCCAGATGCATGCTGTGGACAGGCAGACGGTTGGTGAGCATCACGCGCTGGCGGAAACGGTGCTGGAGCTCGGGCGCTGGATCTGTCGGGCAGCCATCCTCTGGCAGGACATCGCGGCCAAGGATTGCGCAGGGCTCCCTCCTGCGGCCGAGCGGCGCCAGGTGCGCTTCGCCGCTGCCGAGGCGTCACAGGCGGCAGAGGAGGCCGCTAGCACCGCGCCGAGGGCCAAGCGGCCGCGCCTGGAGAGCGCCCGCTCGGCTGGCAGCAGCTCGGCCGCCCTCTCGGCCAGCGCTGTAGCTTTCAGCATCCTGGGGCACGCCCTCTCCTTCGCCTGCGCTGGAGAAGGTGACGAAGCCCCAGAGCTCGTGACGTGCACCAAGTGCGGCGCCTACATGACGTTGGGAAGTCGCTCTGGAGTGAGGCCTCGCCTCAAGGGGCGGTGCCCGGGCGACAAGGCCGACAAAAGGGGGCAGGAACCAGCGCAGCCTGTGGCATCGGGGACTCCACCCTGGCGGCAGGAGACAGGAAGGGTCCCGAACCGCCAGGCACAGAGCGAAAGGAGAGGGCATCCCTGCTCTCCGCTCGCAGGGGCCCCTGCCTGAGCATGCGCAGGAGCGGTGCCTTGAGTGGCTTGGCATCGCAGCGGGGCCAGCGGTCGACCCCTCGGCGGCGGCGAGCACAGCAGGCAGCGCCCCTGCAGCGGCCGCGGCGCCCGTAGAGGCGGAGGGCCTAGGCGGGGCCCCTGCTGCCGCACCCACCGCGGCCGCCGCCGCCAGCCAGCCTCTGCGGCGCCCTGCTGCGGCGAGAGCTGGCCTCCTCGGGGCGTTCGGAGTCGCGGAAGAGGAGCTCGCCGCCGCGGCCCATGCAGCGGTCGGAGCCCTTGAAGACCGCAGGGTGCGCCGCCGCACGGCACGCCGTGGCGATCCGACCGTGAGTGAGTGAAATCGTGCATCGATGTGGCCAGCGCCTGCTGCTCCCCTGTGCGAGTAGGCTTCCGCTGCCCTCGGTGCCCGCCTGGACTCGGCCTCTTTCGGGGACGCGGGCCGCCCCGTCTGGCCCTGTCTGCGTTCTGACCACCACTTGCCTTGAAGGCCCCGTCTTTAACTTTAGCTTTAACAAGCAGGAGCGTTGCAAAACACAGAAAACACATAGGAGCACGGCAGGACAAGCAGGGGCGCGGCAGAACACACAGGAGCACGGCAGTACACATAGGAACACGGCAGAACACATAGGTGCACGGCAGAAATGACCTCAGAACACACTGGAGCACGGCAAGCACGCAGAATAACGATCAGCACGGCCGAACACACCGAGTACATAGGAGCACGACAGAACTCATAGGTGCATGGCAGAACACAGGAGCGCGGCAGGCCACACACCACACATAGGAGCACGGCAGGTCAACCAGCAGCACGGCAGAACACACAGGAGCACGGCAGAACACACAGGAGCACAGCAGAATACATAGGAGCACGGCAGAGCAGGATCATGGCAGAATGCACAGGAGCACGGCATAACACACAGGAGCACAGCAAAACACGCAGGAGCACGGCAGAACACAAAGAACATCCATTCACACAGCCGGACCCACAGGCACACGCACATAGGCACACGCACATAGGCATACCCACATGCACACGCACACACACACAGACACATACACACACGCACATACACACACACGCACACACAGAGAGGCATCATACGTTCACGCAGACCGCAGGAGTACGGCAGGGCAGCACGGCATAACACAACAGTGCCGCAGACCACCACGCACGGACACACATGCACATATTCCACGCACGCACGCGCACGCGCAAACGCACGCACGCCACGACAGACTTGCGCAACGCATACTAAGAACGTAGAAGCCCAGGACACAAAAGGACGCTTCCCGTTCTTGTCCCTTCAGGTTCCCGGCCTTGGTGCGCTTGCCGTTCTGCGGTCGTGGCCAGCAGGGCAAACCATGCGAGCAACTCTTCGAGGTCAGAGTCGATGCTTCAAACGAGGTGCAAACATATCTATATGTATACATCTATGACATTGGCCGCTTGCGTCCGTTGCAGTTGTTTCTGGGGCGGTGTTCTCTCGCTCACGCGCGTGTGTGTGTGTGTGTGTGTGTGTTGTGCTGTCAGTCTGTGCGCGTGGGTCGACAGGTTGTCATTGTTTGTCCTTGGGTGTCCAATCGAATGTTTAGCAGCAGTGCTGAGTATGACCAGCGGAGCGTGACCACGAGGGACGAGACATCCGCAATCAAGCTCAACAGGTCTGAGCTGCGGCTCTGAGGATATGTTCTGGTCTTCTTTCACCTGGTGTGGCGGTGCGCTCATGGCTGCGTCTGGCGGAGGTGAGGAGGTGGAGGGATGCTAGAATATGTAAATTGGTTGGGAAGTTCGTGGTTGAAGCTGAATATGGGCGCGTGGTTGCATCCTCCGCAACCCACTGTTCACCGAGTGCCGTACTGTAGTGGTGTAGATTCGTTGCGGTCATATGGAGCTCGCTTGGGATGCTTAAGAGCCGTCTTGGGCCTCTTGGGGACGTCTTGGGAGCCTCTTGGGCCGTCGTGGGGCCATCTTAGGCGATCTTCGGGTGATGAT